TTAAGTGAATCTCTTTGCATAGATTTGCCCGTCCATGGCCAATTGTGTGCGGATTTTATTCAACTCACGTGCTAATGCATGGGTGTAAACCGATCGAAAACAGCTTCATTTACTTGCAAAACGATTTTGTGTGTTTATATTACTGGCACATTTAGTCCAGAATAAATGAAAAATATTACACTGAACGGCCAGGCAAGCGAAGCTAATGTCTCAATTATTCAGCAACTTTATTTTCAAATCCCCATTAAAATAACGCCCGAAGATGAAGCGCGTCAAACCAGTTCGCTTACCAGTTTTTCATTTTCATCCTCCATTTCCAGGCGGGCAGCTATGCAATTGCGGGTGTCAAGAAACGCCTTTCGCTGTGCATGTTCCATCAGGTTGTGCATGAAAATTCCCACAATGTTCACGCACATGAAAACAATCACATTGGCGCTTAACTGCGAAAAAAATGCGTTTGCTAGAGATTGGGAAGAAAATCTGGTTCCCACCTGCTGCCAACGCAAGTGAGGAAAATCGGTGGCAAACACTGAAGAAACGGCAACATGACCGGAGCACAGCAAAAGACCGAACACGCCCGCTATCCAGGACTTGAGCGGCATCATTGCATAGGCCAGGAAGATGACGAAGACCACCTGAAAATAACGACTCACTCAAACCAGCACTATGCCGATAATACTGCGGATTTACCTGCCAAGTGCCATCGGCAGCAACTTTGGTAGCCGCACTGGTAGGATAGAAAGGCAGAGCCAAAGCGCAGAAAGCTGCAAGGAAGAAAAGGACCACGTAACACACCCAGAGGAGATAGGCGTCCTGCATGAACCGAGTATGGAGGAAGCCCAGCAGGACCGCAAAAAGGATGCAATGGGCCGCATGGAAGACGTTTTGAGTTGTGGCTGTCTGCGAGTACACCTGTAAAGAAATGTTTCATTTTTCTCGAAGTGGAATACTCTGAATATTGCAGATAGAAGCTACGTTTTTTCAATGATGTTCTGAAGCACTTCCACTCTTAAAACAAGTTGTTTAAATTTGACCTTCCCACTCCAGGTCCCTGGAGGTGGCTTCCAATCAAAACTTCCAGAGTTTGGAGCAAAMRCYTTCMTTTGCTCCCCGATTTCGATTAATTTATAAACGCTAGAATTAGTTGCATTTTTGTAGATTYYTCGGTYCTAAAGGACCTTTTCCTCAAAATKYSTGYTMRTAGYTTCCAAACGAACTTTTAGGGTTTATAGGSCAAACTTTCCGCTTAATATCGCAGCCTTTCACAAGTTTCCACCTCGTTTGGTTGTTGAGAAAACCAATTCCTTTTAAGGAGCACCTTTTCGTCCSTTTGATGCTCTTGAAGCGTTGTTTTATTCGTGTTTSAAAACTGTAGATTCTAAAAATGTGTTTACGATTGGCGAATTTAACTTGGAATCCACATCAAGCAAAAGCGGAAGTAAATCGGTGCAGCTCCTTCAGACTACTTGCCGCTAAAGACGTTGGAAGTAGTGAAAGGAATAATCGAATTGTTTTTTTAATCAATATACTACTGACAACTCGGAATTAATAATCAAAATAATTACTAACTATTTAAGCGAACCGAAGCGAAGTGCGGTTGAGCGAAGCGCTCGGAAGAAGCTTTTACATTGATTTCAATGAAAGTGCGTTAACTTGGCAGAAGCGAACTGTAGCGATCATTTGCAAATTCGTCACTGAGAATGAGTTTGGCCTCAAACTTTAATGTTATTGATCTTTGCCCTTTTTGTATTTTTGAGCAACATTTTTAGTTGCTCGTGGATAAACTTTGTTCATTTTGACTCTCTTTTGCCCAATATTCCACAATTTCGGGTATACAGCAAATTTTTCCATCTACCGCATCCCAAATTCCAAGAGGTTCTATCTCTAAATCCGTCTTCTTCCAGTTCTCTCGTCTGCATCTCTCTTCTGTCTTCCTTTTATTGGCAAATTTACATTTCCAAATTTTATGTGGTACTCTGTTCCAGAACAAGAAGTGTCTTAGGGTTCTTGGAAAAGAGCCATTTAACCCATAGTTTCCAATAAAACTTCCATAAATTTACATCAGCGATTGAAAAAAATGTATATAATGTTTCGGTTTGGACCAATGCTGTTAAGCCTCTAGACTTCTGACTAGTTCTTGGATTTAAATATTCAGGAATTCGGAAAAGTCCCACACTTTTCAGAAACATTTCATCATCAAATCATGCAAAGTTTAATATATTTTTGGCGCAACGTTTCCTGGGATCAATCCAGCGACTGTTGAAACCAGTCCAATCAATTCGGCCACCTGTCAAGCAACATTAACTGACCAAAGTGCAATAATTACGATGTCTGGCTATTAAAAAATTGCCAATAATGCCGATGGGCGGCTGAAAACACGTCAATCCATTGTGTAGAATCCGGATTTTTCGAAATAGATTCATATCCATTTACCCGACGTTTTATTGACTTTCTGGTTGATTTTATCATTTGCATACTGTTTACTGATTAGTATTCCTGAGGCGCCAGCTTATTTTTGCCGTCAATATACTGTCTTTCTATTGCGTTATGAGATTTTGTGATCTTTTCACTGAATATTCAAAAAAGGTTGTCTTTGCGGAGCCGCTGATGGTCACTTACCAGTTCTAAAATGCTCAGCGCCAAGGTATAAATCACTACTAGGGCGATAACCGACTTAACGTTGCAAAGATGCACTTTATGGAGGCTTTTTTCGTAAAATCCTTGCAATTCTGGGTTTATACTCGTACATGTTTCGACTGAAAAACGCTTTGGCGGCATAACGTCTTAGAACCCATCAAAACCACCCATTGAAGAGTCTTTCCATCCAAAGGCTTAATTGGGGAGGAAATCAACTGAGGAACCGCACATTGCTTTCACTATCTGGCACATTTATCACAAATCACTGTTTTTATCATCGGCATTTACTATTTACTTGTACCGACTACTTAAGATATGCAATATCAACGTTTCGTCGAATACCGTTTCTCTGATTAGTTCACGTATGAATGGACATCCAAGCGTATCTTCCTTTAGGAAACGGAAATCTTTTACAGTTATTTTAACGTTAAACTTACCAATCCCAAATTGGCCAACAGGAAAGTAAGCAGAACGAACAGAGCCACCACAGCAGCCACGCTGGAATGCTGAAGCTTGCAGATATAGCGCTGATAGAGCTGCTCTAGCTCATCGTTCTCAAAACGATGTGGATTGAAGGCTCTGGCCAACACTCGAGGCGAGGTCATGGCCTTAACGCTGTGATCCATACTGGATGGATTCCGCACTTCTTCAGGACACTTTGGACTGGAAATGGAGGGCAATCGGTCTGCGACGCGGACTGAGGCCTGCCATCACTGGAACAACCAACAAGAGCCGATTAAGAGAGGTAAATTGGATATAACTTTTTATTTGCAAATCACACAAGGGCTAGTTAAGGACCAAAAAATATTCCCAATAAAAAGTCATTCGTGTGATTTGTGGAGACTTAAGAAACTGAACTTTGGTGTTTATGACAAACAGCAGAAAATACGGGGTTTTTGAATTCAGCTGGGAAATTAAAACATTTTTCAAAATGCTGAAAGTGCTAAATATTTGTGAGTCTGTATAAAAATTTAAGAGCTTTCAGCTTTCCCTAAACTCTGTTCCTCTCCTCTTCACTTCCTGGTAGGCCTGGGTAACACTGTGTTGAGTTGTGTTGTTGAGTCGTTGCCGCTCTCTGAGTTAACGATTTATAACTCATCGGTTCATGAGTTGTAAGTTTACTAAAGCTTTACGAGACCCGCAACTGGAATTTTCACATCTAAAAAAAGGTTATCAACATTTTTTCTGATTACCGTTTTACTACTTTGTTCAAACAACTAAAAAAAGATTTTTTTTAGTTGTTTTAGATTTTTCCAGCAACCGAACTGAGTCCAAAGAAAGTCGACGAGTTTTCTTGTAAAAGCAATCTCTTAATTTTTTTGAATAAAAGATTCCGTTTGTCAATATTTTACAGTAAAACATTAGGAAAAACGCGGTTCTTCTGTTCAGAGACAGTGTTGTTTAGAAATATTGATCTAAAAGTGAAGAAACCCCAGTTTCAAAGAGTTTTCCAAATAAATGACTATAAACTTTCGCTTTTTCAGTTCGAGGAAATATTTTTGGAAAAACACCCAGAAATAATTATTACGGTTTTGTCCATAAGTCGAAGCTGCAAAAAGTTTTCCAAACATTTTTGCAAAGCGGTCAAGGAGGCGAGTGTTCCAATAAAATGTATCTTATTATTTTTCACAGAAAATACCTGAAGATTGTCAGTAACTTAAGTAAAACTAAAAAATAATGCTATTTTTGGGTAGAAAAAAGTGCTTAATAGAAACTTTGTTAAAACTGGAATGACCTGAAAGTTTAAAGCAACTTTAAAAATCTTATTGTAAACTTTTTACAAAATTTTGCTTGTAATTTTTCGCGTAAAAGACTTCGTAAAGATCGTCAGTATTTTTACAGAGCAAAAAGTAAAGCAAAAAAATTCAGTCAAAACTAAAAAACCTCATTTTTTTAACAAACTCTACAGTTCTGTCTACAAATCTGTTCCAAACTTTCGTTTATTCTGTTCGTTTTTTGATAGAAAATGATTTGATTTTTGTTCCAAATTCGAAGATGGAAAGGGATTTCAAAACTTTTTACAAAGCGACGATTTTCGGATTCGAAGTTTATTTCATAATTTAGCATTTTTAAGTGAAACTCTAGAAGAGGAACTGGAAAGTTCTGAAGTATTGAAGAAATTTTGAAATGTTATTAATAAATGGCCCTTAAAACAAATCTGAAAACAAATAAAAAGTCATAAACATTTTGTCAGCAACGGAACTGAGTTACTGCGCTGGTCTCTTGGGTTAGTGCAACAAGCCATTTGCGTAGCACTGCGCCAACTTTCACTGAGTTACCCAGGCCTACAATAGCCGCATAAATCTAATTCTTTTCATATTCGAAAATCATGTTTTTCGATGTTTACCACCGATAAAAGATTCCACTGATAACACTTGAAGCAAAGCTGTTCAGCTAATCCAACCCTGCCTTTAGAGGAGTCAGTTTGCTGTTCCAATTTTATCATTTATTCACCGTTTTGATATCGTAATCGACCCAAAAGGATTCCGTTGGAATTAGGGATTTTTAAGACGGTGGAACTATGGGATAATGTTCTACCTCTATTAAGCTTCCAGCGGAATTTTACAAAATTCAATTTGCTTTACCCTGGAAGCTTTTATTAAAGCTCTAACGTTTCCGGTCCTGATGTTTAGAAACCCAACGGGAACCTTATTTGCGCCTGATTATGCTCAAGCAAGTATTTGAGTTTTAATATTTTTTGTGTGTGTAGACAGCAAACATTATTTTTAATTAAAAACACCAAAAACAAGCCAGCATGAAAAACCGGACAAGCTACGCAGCCTTTCTCTCTTTCCAAGCCCGACATATTCCCCAATAGATAATTAAAGTTCAAAATTGATTTTCTTTCTTATTTGCTTTCTTTCGCCTTTCTATTCTGCCATATATTTTTAATCAATCGCTTCAAAGGGTCTTTCATTCGAAATTGATGATCGAAGGCAGGCTTGTTGGTTTTTCTAAAGGTTGCTAAGCTAAGTAAAATATCAGTTTGTTAAAATAATCTTTTGTGAGTGTTGTTGGACAGCAAGTACACACTTGATTGATATATGAAAGCCACAATTGCTTTCCCCAATTGCAGGCAAACATTTTGGAGACAAGATTTGCATTTTTTTATTGTCTCTGTTCTTTTTTTTGTTTTCTTTTCATCACTTAAAGACCTCTTAGTCTGGTGCTTGCACGGTGCTAGAATAAATTAATTAAGTTTCACGCGTCACCTGTGCAAATTAACATAACGTCGAAATTCTTCTTTGAATAACTCAGGAACTGTTTTTTAAGATTTCTAAATTACAATAAATCGAGCGGTAAATTTACTCATGGTGTGTGACTTTCAATGACTAACACCAAGTGTCTAAAAATACCAGGCTGATATCACCGAGCAATTAATTAAAGCTACCATTTAATCGAAGACGCAGTAAAAGACTCTGAAGTCATTGTACAGGTTTAAAATTTCAACACCTTTTTTTTGGTCGACGTTTTCAATTTATCGCCGATCCAACAACAGTATTCAAAGTGGAAGGAATATTCAAAACAAAGCAGCGAATTAACTGGAAACAACTCGAGGCGTGTAATCCTGCCAACTGCGCCAACTTTTCCTCATTTATCTACAACACGGGGTGATTTTTAAGGCGCATTTGCAGACACCAAATGTTTTTTTGGGCGATAAAACTGTTTTTATTCCTGCCTCAACATCGAAGACAGATCGCAAATAAACAATGTATGATGGGTTTTGCTTCACCCATCTCCGACCACCCGCAACTGTTTATATATTTAGATCCCATTGGCCTTCTGTAGCAGTTCGTTGGGCTGAAAGCGATCGGTATACTGAGGGTCCATTGTTTGACCAGTGTGGCGGAAAATCTGCATAAACCGATCGATGGACATCGGAGAAATATCCAGGCTTCTCTATTTTACATAAAGGGTCTTAAATATTTCCACTGGCTTCATGTAGGCGATTATCCGCTATTGACTAGCAGCAGCCAACATACATTTCGTTTCCATCTAATTTCCTTCATTGGTTTATCGCAGGATTAATTCCGAACAAAACTATTTGGTTCGCAGGAAAGCCATCCGCTGATCCACTGATGTTCACGGTTGAAAAATAGCAATAATATCGTGAGAAATGTCGCTGTTTCAGTGCCTTTTACGATAAAGACATGCGGGGCTCAGCGGCAAAAAAATTATATGTAATTGTTACGCGCAATTAAGTTGACGCCTTCATTAAAAATTATCTGTGGCGAAGAGCAATTGGGTTTAGTTTAACCTTTACTAGGTAACGCGTGGGGGCAAAAGTGGCAAAATCAATTCTATAAGAGGCGAGGTGATGAAGAAAAAGTTGTTAAGTAATCAGCCAGCTTTAATTAAGAATTCCAAAGCTTCCACTGCGGTCACAACAGGAAGCTTTCAATACTGCATTGATTTACTCGTCGAAAATTGTTAATCCAGCTCCGATTCTGTTCGATTAAGGTTCAGCCGAAGGAAATTGCTGCCTTAATAAGCCACAGGTCAGTAGGCAGCAATTCCTGCGGATCCATTAGCAGTCCTTTTCACGCTTTGGTCTAATTCTACAGACTGGTTAATTGGGTTTCGGTCAGAAAACGGCGAGCTTTTAAAAGCTGCTTGGCTGCACCATAAGTTAACAGTTATGGCACTTTAATTCACTTTCGGCCGTTTTACTGCAGAAACGCACCAGTTTGTTGATTTTATATCGCTAAAATATGACGCTTTTAGCTGATTATCGTATTTTATTCACCAGCATGCCATGAGGTTTAATTTATTATTTTATTTCTTATTTATTTAAGTGGAATTTTGCCCGGTTTTTACTTAACTTACGACCATTCGAGTGTGATTTAAAGTAGGCGTCATTCCATAAAGAGTTATTTGGACTTATTTGGAGTGTGAGGATAATGGGGATTTTTTTCGGAATTATTTGCTAAAGAAGTTCTCAAAAAAGAGTTTCCCATTGCTTAAAAACTTGTGTGAAACTTGTTTAAATCAACTTTAGTTTTGTAAAAGTGTTAAGGATTCGAACACAAATATTCAAGATTCATCCTGGTTTAGAGAAGCGAAGATGTCGCAAAGAGAAAATCGTCTGTTAGAGCAAATCTTCAAGTCATATTAAATTGCCGTTGCGAAATTTATTGACGCTTTGGAATCTTCATATCGAGGAAGTTCAAAAATGTATACGTATTTTTCTTTTAGAACTCATCTGGATTAAGAGGAGCAAGGTTTTTGTAACGCGACGTCGTTTGTTAGTGGACAACTTCATTTTATATTAAATTATAAAAACGAATTAACAAATCGTGTAATAAATTGTGAAATTGCTGTTTATTAACACTCGCAGGGTTTTGTCCAACCAACTTCGTTTGTTAGTACAAAACTTCATCAATCAAATTATTAGGATTCTCATTTTTTGAGCCAAAATTGATGTTAATCCAATACGATCCATTATGCATGAAGGTCTTTTGTTAAACGTTTTCCCGATGATAACCTCGTTTCGACAAGTCGGAAATAGACTTTAAGGTTTGCGCTTATCTCGTTCAGTTTTGCATACACTGAATGTATTGAATAGCGATCATGTTCTCGAGCGAAGCTTTGGGTTTATGGATGGCGGTTGCTCAGATGTTTCTGTGTTGTTACACTTTCGATAAAGGCAGATTGGCGATTTGGCACATGAAAGTGCGTTGAGAAAAGAAATTGAATCATTACAAGAAAACTT